AAGCTGTTGCCAGGACCCTCACATAGCTCCCGCTATGTGGGCAGGAGTGGCCACAACCATGAGCCTCCTTTGTCCCTGCTCTTCCTCCTGGGCTGACAGGCAGCCAGGTAAGGCCCTGTTGAGGCCACCTGCTCAGGCCCTTTGGTTGGCCGGCCCACCAGGGGTCACAAGGACAGCCCACTTCATATCCGCACAGTTAGGCAGGTTTCCTGCTGGGAACTGGGCAGATACCCCTGCCTCAGTGGTGGGCCAGTCTTGGTTTATATCTCATGATTTTGGAAGGTGCCAGGGAGAGAAAGGGCCAGGATGCCGGGACTTGTCCATGTTGTCAGAGGCAGTGGCCACAGTGGCCCAATCTGGGACCTCCTGAGCCTGAGGGCTGCAGCACTTTGGCCCCCAATCCTGAAGCTGTGGGTCCACTGGTGCAGGAGTAAAACATTGAGTGTGTTGTGTAAACAGTTGGCTGTTTCATGATTCAAGAGTGTTCAGGATTAAAAGCAGACACAAAATTGTGCTACTTGAAGTTAAATCTTTCTACGAGAAGCTAAATCTGGGATCTCAAATTGCTTCTGACCTTTTATAAAACAGTTTATCTTTAAATAAATTTATTTTGCAATAATGCACATAGCTGGCATTCTGAGCTTCTCTGCCTTCTGAGGTGACTCAGTAGTGAGGGGAACTCTGGGTCTACATGTGACAGCTCAGGTGGTCAGCCAGTCGAAGAAGGTCTGTGAGGAGAGCTGGGCAGCTGCGCTTTCCTTACAGGAAGCAGAAGCCAACCAAGAGGCCGCAGTTCTGGAGGCCGAGCACTGCCCAAACCTTCCAGGAATAGACACAGCCATGACATGCTTGACAACTGCACTTTGCACCCAGTAAACCTGTACTTCCAGAACGTGAGAGGCATACAGACACTGGGTTTACATGCAAAGATGGGTGGGGAAAAAAAACACAGGGTGAAAGAGCTATTAAAGGTGAACTACAAGAACAATTTAGAAATGGGGGAGGGGCACAACTGAAATACTGTGAGAAAGTAATTTGTGATATTTTGGATGGGGACCAGACGTACTGAAATCTCCCTTTTCTGTCCCAAACACATATAGAAAGGGAAAAGTTATAAACACATTCCAATAAGGCAAAGGAAATGTCTTTAAGTGAGAAAAAATGGAGATGCCTTTCTAAAAGCAGAAGGGGGCACCAACAGTATGAAGGCTCAAGTCAGTGGCCTGCAGAGGAGCCAGGCCAGAGCCCCATGGCTGCATTACCACTGCGGCCTGAAGCTGAGGACTTGGATGGTACTGCTTGTCCACCCAGGGCTGGGACTGGAGCAGTGTTTCTAGGTGAGGGCCATGTATCAGAGGCCACCACTTCCCACCACACACAAGCGTCTCCTAGTGTCCTCGTTGCAGACCTGAGTACAACCAACCCCACAGAAGAGCAATGTGGAAACTGGATATCATGTTAACAATATTGAAGCCGAAACCGGTTTGGCTCAGTGGATAGAGCGTCGGCCTGCGGACTTAAAGGTCCCAGGTTCGATTCCGGTCAAGGGCATGTACCTGGGTTGCGGGCATATCTCCAGTAGGAGATGTGCAGGAGGCGGCTGATCGATGTTTCTCTCTCATTGATGTTTCTAACTCTCTATCCCTCTCCCTTCCTCTCTGTAAAAAATCAATAAAATATAAAAAAAGAAAAAAGAAAAACTATTCTTTAAAAAAAAAACACAAAACAATATTGAAAATACCTATTCTTTTTTAAAAATATATTTTTATTAATTTCAGAGAGGAAGAGAGATGAGAGAGAGATAGATAGAAACATCAACGATGAGAGATAATCATTGACTGGCTGCCTCCTGCATGCCCCCTACTGGGGATGGAGCCTGCAATCTGGGCATGTGCCCTTGACTGGAATTGAACCCAGAACCCTTCAGTCTGCAGGCCAATGCTCTATCCACTGAGCCAAACCAGCTAGGGCAAAAATACCTATTCTTAAGCAAAACATATAAGAATACTAAGTGACACTTTAATTCTGGCTATGCGAAAAGCACTGCTTTGGGCTCTTTACAAGTATTAACATGTATTTACACATGTTATCACCCCACCCTATATGATGGGAACTATTATCCTTTCACAGAGGAGAACCCCAGGCACAGACAAATTAAGAGACTCGCCTAAGAAGACCAAGCTTGAATGTGGCAAAGCCAGCATTCCAGCTCCAGATGGATCTTAACTGCTTCACTTAACCAGGAGGTTACTAACTAATTAAAAATCTTAGTCCCCCCGCCCTTGACAGTCCCCTGGCCTCCCCTACCCCCCAGTGTAAAAAAATTTACTAAAATAACACATAACCTACAAAGGAATGCAAATTGTACTATTATCACTGCTCTCAGCAGCATAAGATCCAAAAAAATACTAGAGAAATACTTTTAAAGTTCTAAGGAAAATGACATTTTTATACCCAGTAAAACTATCTTTCAAGAACTTCAGCCCTAGCTCGTTTGGCTCAGTGGATAGTGCGTCGGCCTGTGGACTGAAGGGTCCTGGGTTCGATTCCGGTCAAGGGCACATGCCTGGGTTGCGGGTTCAATCCCCAGTAAGGGGGTGTGCAGAAGGCAATCGGTCAATGATTCTCTCTCATCATTAATGTTCTATCTCTCCCTCTCCCTCTCTGAAATCAATAAAAAAATATATTTAAAAAAAAGAACTTGGGGCCTGGCCAGTGTGGCCCAATGGTCGAGCATTGACCCATGCACCAAGAGGTCCCCAGTTTGATTCCAGGTCAGGACACATGCCTGGGTTTTGGGCTTGGTCCTCAGTAGGGGGTGTGCAGGAGGCAGCCAATAGATGTTTTTCTCATCCATGTTTCTATCTCTATCACTCTCCCTCTTTCTCTAAAAACAATCCTATATAATAAAAGGGTAATACGCAAATAGACCAAACAGCGAAATGACTGGTCACTATGATGCACACTGACCACCAGGGGGCCGACGCTCAACACAGGAGCTGCCTCCGGCCTGCAGACCCCAATTGCCTAATCAGGGCCTACCAACCAACCATTGGTTCCTTCCCCCCAACCCCGCCCAGCAGGCTCTGATTGCCCGATGGTGAATGGGGAGTCAGGGGTGGGTGGTAGTGGCAGGCGGGGCCAGCTGCCAGCAGCCAGGAAAGATGGCCCTGATCTCAGGCCAGGCCTAGGGACCGTACCCATGCACGAATTTCATGTGCCAGGCCTCTAGTAAAAACATCAAACAAAACATAGAAATAATATAAAGACTCAAAGTTGACATCCATCCATTGATGAAAGATATTCTAAAGATATACTCCCACAAGAAATATTTAGTACTCCTGCTAGTATCATCATCCTATATAATAAAAGCCTAATATGCTAAGTGTCCGACTGTTAGACCAGTTGCTATGATGCTCACTGACCACCAGGGGGCAGATGCTCAACACAGGAGCTGCCCCCTGGTGGTCAGTGCGCTCCCACAGGGGGAGCACCGCTCTGCCAGAAGCCAGGTTCATGGCTGGCAAGCACAGCAGCAGTGGTGGAAGACTCTCCAGCCTCCATGCTAAAGATGTCCCACAGTGGAAGCGGGCCTAAACCATCAGTCAGACATCCCCCGAGTGCTCCCGGACTGTGAGAGGGTGCAGGCCGGGCTAAGGGGCCCCCCTCCCGAGGGCACAAATTTTGTGCACTGGGCCTCTAGTAAAAGAAATAAGAGAGATGGGGATCCCCCCAGCATTTCAGAGAGCCTGCTCTGAAATCCAGTTCTAGACCAGTGTGATGTGTGGTGAACGGCTGATGGACCTGGAACCCCCAGAATATGCAGGTCAGCCTGGCCTCCACCTCCCTGCTCCTTCCTAGATTCTGGGCCCTGGTGCCCTTCAGAGCCCAGCCTTTGCTACCAGGAGGGGCAGGGATAGGATTAAGTCCAAGAGTGTCTATGGCACAGTAAACTCATTTATTTTTTATTGTAAAGAAGTTGCAGTTGGAACATGGGACACTGAAAATACACAATCACGGATTGTTCTTTCAGAGGAGGGAGGGAGAGATCCATATATACAAAAAATTGTAAACATGTTCACTTAAATATCCACACATAATTGATCTATGCTACAATGTACAGGGTTGTCATTCAACTGCAACTCCAGAGGCATCTGTCTGTAAGAATGAAATGTGGCAACCACATCTGGTTTAATCTGAAAAGCCAGCTTCGAGCAATGCATGAGTAGTCAGCTATGCAGAGGGTCCTCAACCTTAAACTGGGCCTTAAAATGGGGTGCAGGGTAGGGAGTTGAAGGACTGGTTCAGGAAGCCAAGGTAAAGGGGTTTGCATGGAATGGCTGTCTCCAGGGCACCATGGAGCCTCTGTCCTCGAAAGAGGCTTGTCTTGCCAGGCACGCAGGTGTCCCTAGCTGCCCTTACTGAAGGGCTGGGAGAGGGTTGGTGCCCGGCCTATAGCCATCTTGTGCCTTCCCTGGCCAGAATCACCCACACCCAGGAAGAGGCCTGGGCCAACGCATGGAGGAGCTGGGTTGAGCAGCAGGAACCACAGAAAGGGGCTGCCTGTGGGAAACTATCAGTTGAAACTTGAAAACTTGACCACAATCACAAATGGAGAGGGCCAGGCTACTCTAGCGAGCAGGTGACAGGAAATGGAAGGAGGCTCCAGACAGAGCACACGGCCCCACAGGGTGAACCAACAGGACAGGAACAAGGACTGTCACTACCCACGGGACATGGGACGGGGAGCAGTGGCCATGCTCCCTGGGTCATGGCATGGGGGTGGGGGCAGTATTCCTGCCCCCAGTCTGGGACAGACTCTGCACCTGGCAATGGAGGGCAGCTGGATCCCTGATGCCAGAGTGGACAGGTGAGCCCCGGGCTGGCTGCCTCATGAGGGGAAGGGCCCCCTGCCCAGGCTGATCCACTGGAGGCTGGAGATTAAAGGTACTGGAGGAACTCGGGGGTACAGCCCAGGCACCCTGGGGGCTACCCTCTCTTGGCCCCAGACGGCCCACAGTGGCCACCCCTCCATCCCTGGAGTTGGGCCAGGAGGACCTGAGGGAGGTCCCAGGAGGCCTTGGGCCTGGCATCGGTGGGGCAGCCTTCCAGCCCTGGTCTGGGCTTGCCAGCCACTAGTAGGCGGGCACCTGGTACCCTTTGGGGCTGGTGTCCAGGGTCTCGGTGAAGGGCGGGCTCTGGTAGGTCTCGGTGCCCTCCACACCGCTGCCCACTGGGTAGCCAGGGTAGTCCTGGCCCGCCCCGGTGCCCAGCTGTTCGGTGGCAAAGATCGACATGTCGGTGCCCAGGCGGAACCGGTGCAGGGCCTTCAGGGTGAGCGCCACCTGAAGAGGAGCCCGAAGTCAGCTAGAGCGGACACCGGCCTGGCCCCGGCCTGGCCGGCCCGGCCCTCACCGCCCGCAGGACGCACTCACCCAACTGAGGATGGAGAAGAAGCTGAAGGCGATGGCGGCCCGCGCTGCGTCTCCCGCCTGCGTGGTGGCCGGCCCGGGCGCCGTGCGCTGCCACTGGTTGGTGAGGAAGCAGAAGCCCACGAACCACAAGAAGGACCAGACCCCTGCGGGCGGGCGGCGGTAGGGTTAGGGGAGCGACCCCGGGGGACTCCATCTGACCACTCTGGGAGCGGGCGGGCGTCAGGGCGCACGGAAGCCCCGCTAACCCGCTCCTTTCCCATCCGCCCCCGCCCCGCACTCCCCGCACCGCACCGCCCGGCACGCCCTCGGAGGCCCTGCTCCCGAAGCCCGCGCCGCCCCGCCCCTCCCCGCCCCGCCCCGCACGCCCTCGGAGGCCCCGCCCCCGAAGCCCGCGCGAGCCGCCTCCGGCGCGGCCCCGCCCACCTGAGAAGCCCAGGTCCAGCAGCACCGCGCGGCGCCGGTCGCGGACGCTGCTGATCTGCTGGAAGCGCAGGTCGAGCAGCAGGAAGGCGGCGCAGGCGAGGAAGGCGCCGAGGCCGAGCGTGACGCCGAAGCGACAGGCGCCTGCGTTCCCGTTGAAGACGCAGCGCAGCTCCGGGCCGTCGTCGGAGTTCACGTAGCCCTCGTTGACGATGGGCCCGAAGACGGCGATGGCGAACACCTGCGGGCGCGGGGGGTGCTCAGGCCCTGGGGTGGCCCACCCGCGCGGCCACGCCCTGGGCCTGTCCCTGCGCTCCCTGGCGGCACCCGGTGCGTCCCTGGGTGAGGGTCTGCAGCACCCTTCCCTTCAGACCTCCCTCAGGCATTTAGTCATCGTGGACCACGTGGACCGTGTAGAGAGCATCCCTATGCCCAGACACGGTGCCTAAAACTGCTGCTTCATGTGTGTTCGCTCATAGAATCCTCCCAGAAAACCACGAAGGTGCCCTTCGTTGTTCTCACTCCCTTTACGGACGAGGAAATTGGGGCTCCAACAGGTGAAGTGATTTGTCTGAGGTCGCATTGCTGGTAAGAGCAGGGGCTGACATTCCAGCTGGGTCTTGTGCACCGCGTGGGGGCCACACCAGAGGTGGAAGCAGGAGCCTCCGGAGTGTGAGTCCAGGCTCCAGCCGGTGGTGCTGGGGGAGGCAGGTGTGGAGCCAGGAGAGAGGGGCCAGGGTGCAGGGTGCAGGGGGCACAGCAGAGGGACACTCCAAAGAACGGAACTGCCCGCACTCGGCATGTAGAAGCCGTGTGGCCCTGTCTATTAGCATATCATACGTGATGGACAGGCCCAGCTAATGGGGTGTTGGGGACGGAGAAAGAATGTCCATCCAGCATTCTACACTTGGTGGGCACTCAAGTGATTATGACCCCAACTGACTATAAGTGTTTGGGCGCAAAAGGCGTGAGGACTGACCTCTGGGGTTCAGTTCAACGTCAGCGCTCTGTCCCCACGAGGGCTGGAAGGCAGGTAGGAGGTGGAACACAGTCATTTCGTTTTATTTTATTTTTAAATTCTAGACCAGGATCCTTTTAAGCCAGATGCTGCTCTTTTAGCTCTGGGCAAGCCTGTTTCTAAAAAAAGATCTCCAGTTTCAACTTCATTTCTCTCCTTTCCCACCCTAGTTCCTGGAGATAGAGTCAAGAGGGAAACGGAGGGGCAGGATTTGGACTCACCCCCAGAGTGGTACACAAGTGGAACCAGAGCTGGGACCTGAAGGTAGGGTTCCTGTAGCCTGGTCTGGCGGGAGTCACTCCCCCTGCCCTACACTGGGCACCACCCTACTCAAGACCATCGAGTAGGTGTAGCTACCAGCCGTTACTGGCTGGACAAAACCCAGAACTCGGCACCTCACCTCCCATCTCTCCTACCTGGAGAAGTATTAAGGAGGAGCAGGCCATCAAGCCTAGGGACGCCCCAATAAGCTAGACTGCCCCTAAAATCTGCCCCTCCCACACCACCACCAGTCAACCATCCCAAAGTAGAGCCCCATCTGGCTGCCCCACCCAGAGGATCCCTGATCAACCCCTCCCCACCCCCTCACAGTTGCAACTGGGGGGCCTGGGAAGGGCCGGCTCCCTTTAAGAAGCCTGGAGGGTGTGTGTGCAGGAGAAGGGGGGAAGGGGGCTGTGCCAGATTCAGCTCCCGGAGCCCCTCCGTGAATCCCGTCCCCACCCCTGTGCCTGCTTCTAGGTCATGAGAACAGGAAAAACGGAGCGAGGGCTTAAGAAGGGGACCGTTCGACCTAAGGAGGAATTGGGGGTGGGGGACAGCGGGAAGTGACCTCTCAAGGTCCCAGGCTGTCGCCGGCAGCCCCTCCCCCGCTCCAGGTGGGCGCGCCCAGCACGGTGATGTCACCCCAACCTGCGGCCCGCGAGGGAGGGGACAGCGAGGAAGAGGGTGAGGGCGAGGGACGGGGTGGGATCAGGTACCGGGACAGTGGCCACTCACCCAGGACACGACCCGCAGCAGGGTCTGGGGCCGCTTCGCGAAGCTCACGGGGTCTACGGCGGCCCCCGCAAGGCCCGCGCCAAACGAAGCTCCTTCCATGGCTGGCCCCAGCGGGCCGCGCACCCCTGGCGCCCTCTGTCAGTCTGTCCGGCGGCCGGCCCTGCCCAAGATAGCCCGGGGCTGCTGCGAACGCTGCTGGAGCTGCCGCTGCCTCCGCTGCCTCCCGGGAGCGCGCACTGGCCGCGGCGGGGACGCGCGGGGCGGGGCGAGCCCGCACCCCCTCACTGGTCCACGCACCAGGCTGGAGCCCTCTGGTCCCTCCCGTCCGCTCCCCTTCCACCCCCAGCCCTCAGCTGCATGACCCGGGTCCAAGATGGACTCACCAGATCACGATCAGGGGGCAGGGCTAAGGAGCTGGGCCCTCACCGCCCCTCACAAGGAGTCAGCAGTGCAGGCGGGCACCGGGCTCCGCCTTTGCTGTATCCGGGCAGATGGACAGAGGGCACCTGACCCCGTGCCTCTCCTCTGAGCAGGGCCCTTTCATGAATGTGTAACTGAGGCCAGATGGCCCTAGAGCAGCGGTTCTCAAACCTGTGGGTCGCAACCCCTTTGGCGGTCCAACGACCCTTTCACAGGGGTCGCCTAAGACCATCCTGCATATCAGATATTTACGTGACGATTCATAACAGTGGCAACATTACAGTTATGAAGTAGCAACGAAAATAATTTTATGGTTGGGTCACAACATGGGGAACTGTATTTAAAGGGCCAGAAGGTTGAGAGCCACTGTGTCTAGTCCAGGGGTGGGCAAACTTTTTGACTCGAGGGCCACAGTGGATTCTTAAACTGGACCGGAGGGCCGGAACAAAAGCATGGATGGAGTGTTTGTGTGAACTAATATAAATTCAAAGTAAACATCATTACATAAAAGGGTACGGTCTTTTTTTTTTTTTAGTTTTATTCATTTCAAACGGGCCGGATTCGGCCCGCGGGCAGTAGTTTGCCCACGGCTGCTCTAGTGTCTCCCCCTCAGGAAATAGGACCAGGGCTCCCTGGCCTTGGACCCCTGCAAACCAAAGATCGGTCACTGGGGCCTTTCCCCCCATGAGTCGCCCCCCTCCCCACACACACACTTCACCCTAGCTTCTCCTTCAGAGGGTCCTAGCCACCTGACATGGAGAGAGGATGGTCTCTGCTTCCAGGGGCACTTGTCCAGGTGGGCAAAGCCCACAGGCCAGTATAAGTGGGAGTTGGGGCCCTGACAGGTTTGGCTCAGTGGATAGAGCGTCAGCCTGTGGACTGCAGGGTCCTAGGTTCAGGTTCAATTCGGGTCAAGGGAATGTACCTTGGTTGTGGGCACATCCCCAGTAGGGGGTGTGCAGGAGGCAGCTGATCGATGTTTCTATCCCTCTCCCTTCCTCTCTGTAAAAAATCAATAAAATGTATTTAAAAAAAAAACCCACGCCCTGACTGGTTTGGCTCAGTGGATAGAGCGTCGGCCTGCGGACTGAAAGGTCCCGGGTTCGATTCCAATCAAGGGCATGCACATTGGTTGTGGGCACATCCCCAGAGGGCATGTGCAGGAGGCAGCTGAATTGATGCTTCTCTCTCATCGATGTTTCTAACTCTCTATCCCTTTCCCTCTCCCTTCCTCTCTGTAAAAAATCAATAAAACATATTTAAAAACAAAAAAAACCCCCACCAATTGTTTATTTAAAAAAATAAATGGGAGCTGCTGGGGCATCTCTGCTCCTTCCCTGTGGGTGGCCAGGTGTCATTCCAAGGTGGTTCTGAGCCTTCCACACGCCTGGGTTTCCTGGATTGACTTGTGACTGACATACTTAGTTTGGGGCCAAGGAGCAGGGAGAAACATCAGAGATGGGAGTTTGGCTGAAGTGGGACTTCCCAGCCCCGTACTACCGCTGGGTCTTTTCCATAGATCCCCGGGCCCCCAGTTAGTGTCCCTTCCTTCAGGTTCCTTCCAGCCCAGCCCAGCCCAGCAGGAGCCCGGATGACTCCCATGTTTCTATCCGAGGACCACTGGTGGTCCCTGAGGTCCAAAAGGTTGGCGACCGCTGATCTAGGCAACGATAAGACAAGTTTGCATTTGTTGAGCATTTACAGTGCTAAGGACTTCACAATGACCTGTGGGGGTAGAAACTATCATCACCCCCACTTCTCAGGTGGTAAATAGGCAGACTGATTGAGTTCTGGATCATAGAAAGTGAAGAACTGGGACTCAAATCCACGTCTCTGTCATAGCATCTGTGTGGACAGAGGGTGGTGCCTGGCCCAGCCTCCTGGGAACCTATCCCAGGGCAGGTGTGGCCAGAGGTGTAGCCCACCCGTCTTCTGTCAAGTGCATGAAACTGCATCCAGTCCTACTGTTGGGGTCCAGCCCCAGCGGGTCCAGGGGTCCCCAAAGGTGTGGATGGAGTCGGAGAAGAAGGAATGACACGGAAACAGCGTTCAGTTGATCAGCAGCCTAGCCAGGATCTCTAGCCAAGTTCTGGTCAGGATCTCCAGCCAGGTTCTGTGTCCATGTTCTCTTGCTAGGTTCTCCAGGTTCTCTAGCCAGGTTCTGTAGCCATGTTCCCTCACTAGGTTCTCCAGCCAGGTTCAGTCACCAGGTTCTGTGGCCAGTTTCCATCCAGGATCTTTTGCCATGTTCTCTCCAGTGAAGTTCTTCTGCCTCTAGGTTCTGTGTCTAGGTTCTGTGTCCTGTTGTCTTGTTACATCTGTATTTATACCAGTTGATTCCAATCCTATCAATCTGTATTCCAAAGGTTAGGGGCGTTTCTTATCTCCATTCCAGGGAGTAAAGATTATGTAGCTTAAGCATGATTGTTTGTAGTTAAAGTGATTAATTACCCGCCTGGCACTTAGTTAAGGGGTTTTATTCCCTCCCTAACTTCAGGGGAAAATCCCTACCTGGGGAAACCACCTTTCTCAGAGAGGTGACCTTGGTTAAAACACATAGTGTCAAGAAGGTGAGCAAACATATTAAGAACAGTATGCCATACATGCCAGGTCCCTTAAAACAGCAAGGATGGACCGGCTCCTGGCATCCTACTACTTCTCACCTGTCAGCAACTGTTCCCCATCTTGGTCTCTTACATCATCCATTTGCCCCTTAATCATTTGCATCAACACCCAAACATGCTGCACTTTCTTCTATATTAAAAAACATCAACTCTTGACCCCAATGCCCCTCCAGCTGTCTTCATGTCACTGCTCCCTTTCCAGGGGCAATTCAGACACTGAGGTCCCCACCCTCCTAACAATTCTTCTAATGAATGTCACCTTCTCCTCCTGTTCCTCTTTACAGCCCCTTCCTTGTCACCCTTTCAGGTTTCCTCCTCTTGTCTAACCTGTGATCCTAAGAGGCCCCAGACATGATTATGGCTCTTCTCCTCTATGCTATTGGACTGTGCTGACAGCTCCAGCCAGAACCTTCTCTTGGACTAGAGCCCCACTTGTCTTCACCTGGTTGCCCTGGAAAAGTCTGTGGCAAAGTTTAAGAGTTTTATTAGGGGGTGAAACTTCAGGGAAGTGAGTTAGGGGATAAGGGAAATGAAGCAAGGAGAGAGCAGATATAGGCAGTATGTTCTTGAACCGACCACAGTGGCTCACAGGCTACTCAGGATAGACCAGGGATGTGCTGGGGACAGTCCATCAAAGGGAGGAAGAGAACTTATCTGCTGACAAGTCCCCACCTATTTCTTTGTGTCACCTGGGCAGCACGTTGTGGAAGCCAGCACCCCTGGGAGAACAGGTCAGGTGAAGGTGGTGGAGGCTGTGGCAAAGGCTGGCCCTTTGCCAAGGGAGAGGCTGAAACCTGGGGGACAGAGGAGACCAGAGCTTTATGACTACAGGATGGGACACACTATTACTGGGACATTCTTGCTGGGAGCCAAGGCTTGGGGGCAGGTATGGCTGAGCAGATCAGAAAGATTCAAAAGCTGGGTCCAGGTCACCCCCAAGCCTGCTCACCTCACAGCCTTCTTCATCTCACTGATACAAAGAGCAACTACATCCTCCCAGCTTCTTGGTCCAGAACCCCGGTCACCTTTGGCTCTTCCTCTTCTGTACCTTCAGAATATATCCGGCATCCTCTCCCATCCACCCTGCGGCCAGCTTCCCCCTCAGCTGCCACATGGGTGCCTGCTCTCCCTGCTTCCACCCGTGCCTGCCTCACCCCAGCTCAGAGGAAACTTTCCAAAGTAACATCTCACCATTCCTCAGCTCCAAATCCTCCAAGACCTTCCTGTCACAGACGCTGGGAGTTAAAACCATGTCCTTGCTGGGGCCTTGAAGACTTCACACTGACTCCCCTTCACCTTCAACCCTCCCTCAGCTCCAGGAATTCTGCCTCCTTGCTGTTCCTGGGATATCCTGGCCCACTCTTGTCTTGGGACCTCTCTAAGGGACCAGAGTCTGGACAGGAGGAAGCAGCTGACCAGAGGAGTGCGGGCAGGCCCCGTCCATCACTGAAAGTCCCAGCAAACACACTGAAGGCAGGTTCTCAAGTCACTTCTTCAGCATTTTATTTCCGTCTCGAGTTCCAAGGAAGCTGACCCCAAGGAGCCTGGTACTGCTATGGAAGGCCATGTGCTGAGCAGAAAAGGAGCTGGTGTCGCTGACCCTCAGAGGAGAGCCATGCCTGTACTTTCCCTCCCTGTAGGCACTGAGCAGTGTGGAAAGCTTAGCCTCAGGCCTCTTTCCTGAGGGGCAAACAGCACACAGCCTTTGAGGCTACAGGCACTGCAGCTGTCTCTAGCCACAGTGAGGAGACAATGGCCTGATCTCAAGGATTTTGTGGGACAGAAGAGGCCAGCCAAGCCTATCATCTTCCTGTGTGGGGAAGTGGGCACCAGGGAGTGAGATGGGCAGGAGGCCACATCCTGAAAAAAGGGACAGCCTAGCCTGGCCAGTGTTGCTCAGTGGTTGAACATCAACCATGAACCAAGATGTCACCAGCTGATTCCTGGCCAGGGCACATCCTGGTTGCAGGCTCAATCCCCAGTAGGGGGCGTGCAGGAGGCAGCTGATGGACGTTTCCATGTTTCTATCTCTCTATCTTCTAAAAATCAATAAAAACTTATTAAAAAGAGGGGGGAGGGGACAGCCTAGGCTGTCCTACTCCTTCACCTGCAGCCCCACAGGACCTCAGCTGAGGAGGAGGCCATCAGGGTGCCATCAGCAAGCACCCTGAGAAGGAAAGGGCCCCATGGGACGTGGCTGGGGAACACCCAACTGAAACACAACAGGCTCTGGCTCTGCCACTTTAAAGAGTGCTACGATGCACTTTAACGATTGCCCTGCCCCTCCCTAGCCAGGCAGCCCCCATGGGCTCTAGCTGGCCGCCCTCTAGTCGCAGGAGCCATCTTTCCAACCATCACGCCAGCGCTCATCCACTTTAGAGCAGTCGAAGTCCGGCTTGCCTAGCTTTCGGTTCACCTCGTTGTGCAGGCGGCACAGCCACTGGGTGAAAGATGCCCGTGTGCGCGTGTCTGGCTGGTTCCTATATATCCTGTGTGGGGGGGAAGCACATGGAGAATGAGGACGGGCAGTGGTCCACTGCCCAGCCTGCTCAATTCAGAGAGAGATGGGATGCTGCTGTAAGCTACACCCAGGTGTATCTCATGCTCTGAGACAGGAATTCCCAGAACAGGGCTGACCCCACAGTGTCCAGGCTTGGTGGACTCCTAGGCCGGCTCAAAACCTCACGTGGGGAGCTTGATAAACCCTCACAAGAGCCCAGGGCAAGACATTAACTCAGATCAGGCAACTTTACAGCCTCATAACAATCAGGAAGCCTAACCCAGCTTCCCTGGCCCCAAGCGGTGTGGAAAGGGCGGGGCCTGCACAAAGGCTTACTTAGCTAACAGCCAGACCAGTTTCTCAGCACGTGGGGCCCTGGTGCCTCCGCTCAGCAGGAGACCGTTTTTAACTGCCCAGGCTTCAAAAGGCAAGGAATGCCTTGCCCCCCACATCCAGAAAGGCCTATGGGTGCCAGACGGCCCCAGGCTGCTTGCCCTTTTAGAAAGATGGCTGATGATCCAATCCCCACTGTTTTGTCCCTGCTCTTGGCAACTCCCTGCCATTTCTGCACCTATTTCTCTGAGGCTCTCCTTTATGACATCCACCAAGGGCCCCGGCCCAGGCGGGATGCTCAGCTGCTTGCAGGCGGTACAGAATAACTTACCTCTTCCTTATGTCTTCTGCACACTCCTCACATGGGTAAAATTTGGAAAATAAATGTATGAGTTGGGCCATGTCTTGCTGCTGTTCTGGGGTGGGCAGGTCGGGGTAGTAGGCGGCCAGGGTGTGTAGGACGGCCCAGCTGTGGCGGCCCAGTTCCTCACGATCCTGAGGACAATCTTCCCTAAATTTGCTGCCCCGCTGCGGAAGGAGGCGAAGGGTCAGTCTCCCCGGACCAGAAGCCTATGACGCTCCCCTTTTCCCCTCCCCGGCCGGAGGCCCAGGCTCCAAACGTTAGTCCTGCGCGGATCCGGGCCTACCTTGGGGGCAAGGTTCAGGCACAGCCAACCCTGGGGGCGCACGTCCATCAGGCATAGGCCTGTGGGGTCGGGAGGCCGGCCCGGGAGCCTGCGAACGCGGCGGGGGCGGTGGGGGGGAGGGGAGTCGTGTGCGGGTCGGGGCTAGGGGTGGGCAGGGCTCGCGAGCCTCGTAGAGGTGGTGGCCCCCCCCCCCCCCCCCCCCCCCCGGCATCTGCACCTTCTGCTGCGTCCGCATCCACGACTTGAAGTCCACGCAGGCCCGGCAGTGCCGTCTCCGGGAACTGTCCTCGGAGACCTGAGGCTCGGGGGTCGGTGCCAGGGTTGGAGAAGGGGCCGAGGCGGCGGCGGAGTCTCTCCGTCCCGCGCCCCGGCCGCGCGCATCCGTCACCAGGTCCTCCACGGCTTCGGAGCGCGCGCCGCCGGGCAGGAAGGAGAAGAGGTTCCCGACCCCGAAGCGCCCCCGTTCGCTGGGCGCCGCCATGTTGCCCGCGCAGTGCCTGCCGGGCCAGCTCGGCCCCAGCCGGGCCTCCGAGCCGCCCTCAGACCCGCGCGCGCGCAGCCCACCAGGCGCGGCCACAGGCAGCCGGCGCGCACGCCGCAGGCTCGGGCGCGGAGGCCGGGCTGGGGCCGGGGCCGGGGCCGGGGCCGGAGTCCGGCGGGGAGGCGGAGGCGGAGGCGGAGGCGGGCGCGGGGGCGGGGCGGGGAGCCGGGGCCCGCATCCGGGAGGAGGCAGAGCCTGAGGCTGCGGTTCGGGTCAAGGACCCGCCGGATTCCGGGGCCCGGGGGCTGCCCACGCCCCTGGGCCATGTTCCGCAGCCCGAGCCCGGCGGGCGAGGTCCATGGCGAGGCCCCCGCTTCCTCCAGCAGAAGAGCAGCGTGTGTGGAAGGTGCGCCGCGGCCGCGCCCTGGACTCGGACTGCGGCCGAGACCAAGTCCGTCTTGCGACCCTCAACGCCACCATCGCTCCCTCTGACGGTCCCGGGTGCCTGTGGCCACTCACTGAGCCTTCCACTGGGGGGACGCCCCCAAGGGGCTACGTGGCGCTATGGCAACGTAGGGCGGGGCCTGGGCGCAGGGGGCGGAGTGCACCAGGGGGAGGTCCCGGGGGGCGGGGGCTGTGCCTGCAACGGAGGCGGCGCGCCTCTGAGCTTCTGGGCGAACCCGGCGCCCCGATCATCCTGCGGGAAGAAATTAAACCCAGAAGCAGTGGCCGCAGGGAACTCTGCTTCCCTACGTACAGTCATTCCGCAAATTTTTGTGCAGTGTCTCTTCCAAGCACTATTCCAGGCGCTGGGCAGGCGGGTAACAAGACCCAACCCTGACCTCCTACTCCCAGTGGTCAAGACGTGGGGGTGGGCGGGGCGAGGGGGAGAGTTACACTAATAAAGGTTCACTTACAAACCATGGTGGGGAGGGGGCCATAACAGGGCGTGGTAAATGCAGGTGGCCTCCTTGAGAAGGTGACCCTTATGCAGAGGCCTGAAGGATACGGGGCAGTCAAGGACAAGGCTGGAGGTGGGAGGTGCCAGCCTCGTGCATACCTGGGGAGAAATCCAGAGGTGGGCAAGGGCCCGCCAAGGACCTTGTCAGCTGCCATGGGAACTGGGAATTTATTCTGAGAGCTGTGGGAAGGTACTGGACAGTTTTGGGTAGGGCTACCTCTACCTGATCCCATTTCTGTTTTGCAAAGATTTCTCTGGAGAGTCAATTTCATGGGAGCAAGTAAGGAACACGGGCATTAGGTGGGTGGTGGGGTGGGGGGCTTGTAGTTGCCGAGGTGAGAGATAAGGGTAGGGGCTATGGAGAGGGGAAGAGTGGGAAGGATCCAGGGGTTGTGGGGAGTGTGGAAGCAGGGGCTATCAGTGGGTTAGTTGAGGAGGCCTCAGCAGCCTTCTAGGTCCCCGGCTGTTAGTAAACTGGCCCTTCCCTAGCCTCTGTCCTTTGTCTTCCAGGGAGCAGGGTCTGTTCCTACCTGACGCTGCCAGGCCAGACGCCCTCAGCACAGCCCCCACTGGGATTGGGGTGAGACAGTTGGGCTAAAGGCACTCTGAAAATCAGGCCCGTGCAGCAGGTGTTCACTGTCCAGGCCAAGACCAGTGAAGGTTTGAAAGCTTCAGAGAGAGCCGCTGGAGGGACACACAAAAGCCCTTTGTCCAGGCCACGTGGTTTCCTGGAGGGATGCCCTAGACACCGACTCCTCCCCGAGGGGGTTGGGGTGGGGTCCCAGCACAGAGCTGGTGGCCTCAACAGGAGGAACACTGTGCACCAAGGTTAGACGCAGCTCCAGAAATCTCCCCTGAAAGAAAGGAAGCAGCCGGAATTGTGGGGTACCTGGGCACATCCTCTGGAGACTACAGGGTCTTCTCACCATCCCAGTGGGGGAATGGTCACTCCTGATCTCAGAGGCTGTGTTTGCAGTAACTTGTAATAAATTATAAATTTAGAGGCAACTCTCAAAACAATCCTAGTCACCCCCCCATCCCCCAGGTGCCAGTGACTGTAGAGATGGATGGACCACCACAGGGAGGGAAACCTCTAGGGTGAGCCTGGGAGATCCAACCCTCCCCAACACATACAGAAAAACTGACATTATTCACTTCATACAAATTTCCTCCTTTGTGACTTGGGGACATTAAGAAATCTTCCCTCCAAGGTGAGGATTAAGCCGTTTCTGATGACAACTGTGTTAGTTGTCCAGGCAAGTTCAAAGGCGATGCAGGGGGCACCCCTTGGCAGGAGGCTCTCACCAACCCCAGCATTATGCGGGACTGGGAGAGCAGGGAGGGTGGGCCAAGCCTAGCGGCACTTTGATGGCCTCTGCCTTCTCCACCTCCCAGGGCAGCAGTCCCAGCCCCTCCACCGCCTCAGTGCTCCCCCTCCCACTCGCCAAGCCCTGTGCTCCTGCTTCTCCAGCCAGGTTTTCAGTTGGAGGCCAATGAGGAAGCTAAGAAGGACAGTGGGAGGGCGGTGCGGGAATGCCCCTGGCAGGTCTGAGGCATCGGGGGAATTCCAACCAGTCTTTCCGGGTGCCCAGAAGCACCTCCCGTCCCTGTGCGGCTAGGGAGCCCGCGGGATATTCTGCCACACGCTGCTGACTCCAGAGCCTAGGACCTGGGCCCGTGAGACCTCAGCTATGGTGGGCCCTCGGCACCCAGTGTCAGTCCGTGCAGCAGCTCTGGTGCAGATAGAGAAGCTCCAAGTAAGTGCTGGTCCCTGTGGACCTTAGGAGGAACCAGGGAGGGAAGGAGGGAGGAAGCTCAGGGTCCAGTCCCTCCCAGGTGCCCCAGCCTTTCCTCCCAACAGATGTTCGCCTTCTGTGTGAGCTGGTCGGATGACAGCAACACCTTGGTGCGGAGGAGCTGGGACGAGTTTAAGAGGCTCCATGTGAGTGAACCTGGGACTTCCTCCGAGCGACAGCCCCACCATGCCTGCCCTCACCCCCGTGTTGGCTTCTAGCCCCTACGATCCCAGCGAGATCCCCCCCCAAGGTAACCCAGTGGGCTCTCAGACCGATATGCCGGTTCTCTCCCTTAGAAGATCCTCAAGGAGACCTTCCCGGTGGAGGCAGGCCTGCTGCGGAGATCCGACCGAGTTCTCCCCAAACTTCCAGGTCAGGCACCAGGGATTCTGGGAGGGGTAAGGGGAGGGGCAGGAGCAGCAACCTGGTGATGGGCGCCCTGGGGTGGGGTCCCATGGTCTGTCCCCTGTGGTGCCCATAGACGCATCTACATCACTGTTGGCGCGTGGGGGCCGCAAAGGCCGTGGCCTGGCGCGCCTGCAGTTGCTGGAGGCCTATTCTCGGGCGCTGCTGGAGGCAGAGCAAGTATCCAGGGGGCCGGTGCTCACCGCCTTCTTCGAGCCACAGCTCCAGGACCTGGAGCCTTCACTACCGCTTGGCAGGTGCCTGACCCGCCCTAACTCCCCGAGGGAAGCATTTGGGTGGTGGGGGCCGAGTTGTGGAGAAAGGGCCTGGCAGTACAAGGCTGGGTGAAATGTGGCAGCCCATCCCCACACCCCTCTCTCTTGCGACCACCCTTTCCAGCCTGGTGATCCTGCCCGTCCTGGAAGAGCCCCCACCCCGCCCTGTGGGCAGTCTTGCTATAGGCAGCCTGGAGGCTCTGCGCCTGCACTGTCTGCAGCCCTTCAGTACCCAGGATACACGGGGCCAACCCTTCCATGCACAGGCCCAGGAGGCCCTAGACGTGCTGCTGCGACACCCCTCAGGTGGGGCTGGGCAGGAGTCTGGGGGTTTGACCTGCTGCAGCCAGGATCCCAGCACGCGGGGGACCTGAACCCCTGCCCACCTTCTGTGTACAGGTTGGTGGCTGGTGGCTAATGAAGACCAGCAGACAGCATGGTTTCCTGCTCCCTACTTGGAGGAGGTGGCCCTGGGCCAAGGCCAAGACGGGAGACAGCCCTTAGGGAGGAGTGGTAATGAGACTCATCCCCTCCCATGCCCCCACCACTGCTGGGCAGTGTGCAGCAAGGCTGGGGGGGGGGGGGGCAGAAAGCACCTGACCCAAGGGTGAGATGCCGTGGACAGACTAGGTGGTGCAGCAGTCCCCTCGCATGTACTCGGGCCCCATAGTGGGCTTGAGCCCCAGGGGTTTTAGAATGGTCCCTGGCATTAGCAAAGACACAGGAAGAGCCTGGAAGTGCAGGCGATTCAGAGAGATCAATGAGGGGAAGGAGATGGAAGCCCTGTGGTAACACCGAGTGCCCACTCCCAGGCTCCCAGTTCTGTGCTTCCCAAGCCTACGAGGGCTGCCGGCCCGATGAGCTGTCAGTGCCTGCGGGGGCAAGAGTGCACGTGCTGGAAATGTCCGACCGCGGCTGGTGGCTGTGCAGGTGGGGCTTTGGTGGGGGGAGGGGGACAGAGTCTAACGGGGTTGGGAGGGCAGGGCCGAGTGCTAACCAAACTCTGCCCTCCTTGCAGGTTCGGTGGCCGCACAGGCCTTCTCCCCTCTGTGTTACTGCAGCCAGATGGGCTCGGCAAGCTCCTGAATGGACCAGGGTTCCCTTCTGGGGCAGAGGGTGGAGAGAACAGGGCGGGGGAGGCCCAAAGCTCCCCTGAGTCCCCCCAGGTCATGACACTTCCTCCTACTGTGCCAGCCCGCCCGCTGCTGAGTGCCATTCAGAGCCGCTGCTGCACCATCACCCGTAGGGCACTGGGGAGGGACCCACGGAGTCAGGGACATCCTTGAGGGTGTGTGGAACCACATGGAGAGTGCTGTGTACCCCACAGCTGGGGCGGCAGGCCAGAGGCTCCACACCCCGGGGATGACTGATGGCAGCCACACCGCCCCCAGGGCGGGGGGAGGGTGGGGTTCTCTGGCTGGCAGGGCCAGGAAGCTACACTCTCCCATTTCCTCTGAGTGAAGGTCTGATTAACCCACACTCAGTGTCCATGCTGAGGGGCAGGGCCTGTTGGATTGCACAGGCCAAGGCACAGGGGTGGTGTTTGGCCAAGGTTGTAGCCTGGGACCTGGGGTGAGACAAAACCAAACCGACACAGGGAACTGGGATAAAACCTTCTGGTGTTTCAACAACAAAAATAAAAATAAAAAACAAACAAACAAAAAACCTTCTGGTGTTTCAGAGGGCAGAGGGGGCTGCAGGGAGGGTGGGCAGCTTCATGTTGTGCCACAAGAAGTCTAGGAAGGTGGCTGCCTGCAGGGTCCGACTGAGCCGCTGGAAGTGCCGCTCTGGGGATGACAGAGGATGTCGGGGGGGCATCCATGGAGCCGGCCAGGCTACTCCCTACCCCACCCGGGGCTGTGTCCATGTACCTGTGTAGGGCAGCAGGGCCTCCAGCGAGGCCCGCACACCTTCGTAGGCCAGCAGCTCTTCGGGGGCCTCGTGCCGCAGGAGCACGCTCAGCACGGCCTGGGCTTCGTGGCAGTGCCGCGAGTTGGTGTTCCACGTGACACAGAAGCGCAGCAAGGCCTCTGCGGGCGACAGGACGGTCAGACCTGCCTGCTGGCCACCCCACTCCTATCAGTCACTGTCCAGCCCCTACCCTCCTGCCCCGAACCTTTCTGGTCTCGCCGAAGTCGGAGCACAGTGGCTTCCAGTTTCTCGAAGGCCTCAGGGTCCCTCCGGATGGCTGCGGGAGGAGGAAGATAAGCCCCAGGGAAGGGGCAGGACAGACCTGAGAGACCCTCCTCCCCCTACCCCTGAGGTAGCACTGACCCTGGATAACAGTCAGCACAGTATGGGGCCGGTCCAGGGAGATGGCCAGGCCCAGCGCCCGCAGGTACCGCTTCTCCTGGAGCAGGTTGTCCAATTCTTGCTGCCTGGCGGGGGAAGGAGGGAGGACAGGGCCACAGGGCTGGGGCTGGGGCTGAAGGCAGAACCACCAGGGGGCTGGCTTAGGAGTCAGCAGACCAGGCCTGAGCACTCACGGGTGGTGCCCTGTGTCAGTGCTCCAAGCCTCAGTTTCCCCATGTCACAAAGCAGGGGTGATGCTACCCCGAGGGGAGGGTGATGCTGACGCTTGGGAGGTGCAGACATACAGGTGGCACTCACAGGGAGGCTGGGGGGGACCCTCAGACTTACTTGACCACCTGCTCCTCCCGCTTGGCTAGCTCCTCTGCCTGCTCCATCTCGGTAACGTCCTGGGGTCAGACTGGGGTCAGAGTGGAACCTCGGGCTGCCCTGCCCACCCTTCGCCCACTGCACCGACGCCCACACACCTTCCAGAGGATGACACAGGAGTCACTGGCGCCAGTAAGAGCACGGTCGTCCAGCTGGCTGCAGTGAAGCCCCCAGACCTTGTCCTGGTGGGCGTCCAGCGTCCTCACGCACTCATTGTTCTTGATGGTCCAGAGCTTTACGAGCCCATCAGAGCCGCTGGGTTTGGGATTGGGAGGGGCCTCAGCACTGGGACCTGTCTCCCAGCTCACCACAACCCCTGCCCTGTCCCCAGCCCAGTCACCTGGACAGCAGCTGTGTACCACGGCTCACAAAGGCCACCTTCAACACAGAAGCATCATGCCCCTCGAAAGTCTGCAGGGTTGGGACAGGGAGGGGATGAGAAAGCATCAGGTAGGGACCAGGACTGGGCTGAGGGCTGGGCCTGGGGTGGGGGCAGCTTACCTTAAGGCAGCTGATGTCCTGCAATGCCCAGAGCTTGACAGTGCCATCAGCTGAGGCAGTGGCCAGCACCTGGTCCATAGGTGAGAACTGGACACACCAGAGGCCACGCCGGTGGCCTGAGAAGACACCCAGCAGTTGGCACTGTGGCAGGGCCCAGAGCTTGGCTGTGCGGTCCTGTGAGCCTGTGGCCAGCAGCTTGTCATTGGGAGCAACAGCTACACTGTTGATGTCCTAGCGATGGCAACAGGTAGCAGCTCAGATACCCCTGTCCCAGTGAGGGCCCTGCCACACTGCCACCCGTGTGCTCACCTTGTCGTGGCAGCGTTGTGTCGCCTGGGCCTGTAGGAGAACAGGGCCACTGTCTGGGGCTATGCTCTTGGACAGCAGGACTTTGGGGATGGGCCACAGCTTCACAGTGCAGTCCTGGCTGCCGGTCACCAAGAAGGTCTCCTTCAGCCTAAAGCCCAATTGGGGGGCAGGGAAAGACGCCTGATGAGCCTTCGCCAGCCCTGTCTGCCAGTGCACCACAGCGCAGGCCTGCAGGACCATGGTCCAGATCAGAGGGGCTGTTCTGGAAGGCAGATGGCCTGAGTTACCCAGACACATCTCTGGGACCACCTGTCTGCACTTCAAGTCTGCACTGCCTACCCTTGGTGCCTCCACCCCAGATGACTTTGTCCCAATAATGGGACCCCAGCCCTAAATGCAGGGAGCGCCTTCTCAACCTGGACTTGTTCAGTGTCATTCTTTCTGCCCCAACATCCTACCCCAGGGGTCCTCAAACTATGGCCCGCGGGCCACATGCAAATACAAATATTGTATTTGTTCCCGTTTTGTTTTTTTACTTCAAAATAAGATATGTGCAGTGTGCATAGGATTTGTTCATAGTTTTTTTTTAAACTACAGTCCGGCCTCCAGTGGTCTGAGGAACAGTGAACTGGCCCCCTGTTTAAAAAGTTTGAGGACCCCTGTCCTACCCCTTTCATCCACCCAGCTCCAAGGCCACTTCCTAGGAAAACCCCATCCAACAATGGCACCTGGGGTGCTTCGTTCGTTACTCTAGATCCCTAGGTTGAAGCTTCAAAGAGCAAGGTCAAAGGCACCACCTTCTCCTCCCCGTCTCCCTGAGCTGGGACTCCATCAGCAGGGCCTAGGTCTCCACGTCCGTGACACGCTGCATCCCAGCCCTGGCCCACTACCTAGAGCAGCAGACGGTGCCCACGCTGTGTGTGTGCCCAGAGCCTTGAGCCACACAGGTCACTTCGCCAGCCTTGTTCATCCTCCAGACGCGAATGCTCTGGTCCTGGGGACAGGAGGGGTGAGGACAGAGGCTGGGCCAGACTTTCCCACTGGGGACCTGTACCTCCACACCTCTTGGGGTACCTCACCTTGGCACAGCTGGCAAAGAGCCACCCCTTCCGAAACACATCCAGGGCAAGGACAATATCTGAAAGAAAAGTGGAAGGAGAACGGTCAGAGATCAATTAAGGGAAAGGGTCCCAGGAGCGTCGGCCTGGCACCCTCACCTGTGTGGCCATGGAGAATCTGGCAGGCGGATGTCTGTAGCTCAAATACTTTCAGGCAGGGGCTATTGGAGGCCACGACAATGTGGGAGTCCTCAGGCCCAAGGAACCGGACATCCAACACCTCCTCGCTGTAGCCGGCAAACTGCAGGGTGGAGGGACACAAGCCAGGGCTCAGGTGAGAAGAGGGTCTACATCCCCAGACCGAGGGTTGACCAGGGGGCAGTGCTCACTTGTTTCTGCAGCTTCAGAGAATGTGCTTCATAGAGCAGAAGGTTGTGGTCAGCAGTGACACTGAGGAGCAGGCCAGCAGCTCGGACCAGGGCGCAGTGGGTCAGCTCCCGCCCAGGGCCTGACAATGGCTGCTGTGTGTGGACACATTGCCCCGAGGCCGCCTCCCACACACGCAGCACACCTATGCGGGGATAGAGGCTGCTGGGACTCACAGGTCCGCGGGCCACCCCTAGTCCCTGCTGCCCGCCCTGGCCTGGCCCCACACACCTTGGTTGCCAGCTGTTAGGAAGTGCAGGCCCGTGGACTTCACACCCAGCTGGGGCGCCAGCTCCTCTGGCAACAGCACCGCGGCCTCCACACTCTGTGGGGGAGTGGGTCAGAGGTGGCAGCCCCACTCCCAGCCCTAACCCACTCACTGGCCCTGACCCCCCCGGTGCCCCACCTCAAACACAGGGATGGTCCTCAGGGCCTGGTGGCTCCGCAGGTCCCAGACAATGCAGATCTTGTCCCGGCCCGAGCTGGGGAAACAGCCACCTCAGTTCCTGAATCTCAGCCATGGCCCTCCCCGCCTGCTAAGACCTGGGTAGCTGGTCACTGACCTGACCATGGTGTGGCCATCAGCACTAAAGGTGAGTGAGGTGACAGCGCTGTAGTGGGCAGTCAGTACAGCCAGGCACGACTGGTCCTGTAGCGACCATATGCGGATGGCAGCGTCTGTGGCTGAGGAGAAGAGCAGCAGACGTGCGGGGTCCGGGTGGAAGGCCACCAAACTGCAGGTAGGCAGGTGCGGCAGGTGAGCGGTGCCATCCCAGCGTGATGCCCCACTCACCCAGGTTCTGCTGTCCCTACTCACTGCACGACACCTGGCGAGCCCCGGAAGTGGTGTGTCCCATAGTGCCGCACAATGTCCCAGATACGCACAGCCCCATCACAGCCGCCTGTGGAAATGTGTTTGAGGTGAGGGGGCTGGTGTGCCCCAAGCCCCGTGCCCGCCAGCCGGCCCATCCACCTGCTGGGGCCCTACCTGTGGCCAGCAGTGTGGAGGTGGGATCGAAGGCCATGGTGGCCACAGGGGCTGTGTGTATCGCTTTCCACAGGCGGATGACACTGCCCTCTCGCCAGGCCCAATGAGCCAGCAGCAGTGCCCGACTGGCTGTCACTAGCACCTAGGGGAGGATGTAGTTTACCTGGGGGGTGGAGGGTGGAGGGTAGAGGCAAGGCCACCCATCCTCATAGACTCAAGTACTAGAACCCACCTCCTGTCCCTGCCCCACATACCTCATCATCAGGGCTGAGATCAAAGGCAGTAATGTCCTCCTGGTCCTCCTAGGGGCAAGAGTGGGAGCACAGAGTGCTATGAGAATAGGCTGCTTTTCCACGCTAGTCCCTCACCCTGGCTCTCCCTGCCCTCACCTGCTCCAGGCTCTGCAGGATGGCCCCTGAGGCCACATCCAGGATCTTGACTTTGGTACCACAGACACAGAAGAGGTACTGCCCAGTCTGGTCCAGCTGGTGACAGAGGGGGTCTCAGCCAAGATTACACCCTGCAATCCCTGCCTGCCCCACCACTCTGCCTCCCCCCCCCCCCCCCCCCCCGCCCCAGCCCACCCGAGCTGGTACCTGCACCTTCCCGCCCTTGTAGAAAGGCTCGAACTTGCGCTCGACAGCATAGCTGGAGGGTGGACAGAGAAAGAGAGTGAGTGACTCACCCACCCCTTGGTCCCCAGTGCCAAGCCCTGTGCTGGGTGCACTCCCAGAGGTCAACCCAATAGGTCCTTGTGACAGCCCCTGGACAGCAGTAGGGATGGGGTACTGGCGGTGATGAGTTCTTTTCAGTGTTGTGAGGTGGGTGTTGGTATCCCCGTTGCAGATTATTTGAGACCCCGAGCTGGGTTGCTGATCCACAGAGGGTCCCACAACAGCATATGCTGTCCAAACAGTCCTGTCTTCCCAGAGACTCCCCAGTGCAGATCAGGCCAGGCCTTGGGGGCCCCCTGCTGGCCATGGGAGGCCAGGCCTGAGTACCGGCCCATGGCAACACACTCAACACCATCCCTGAGGTCCAGCCTGAACCCTTCCCCAACCCTTCCTCCTTCCCCAGCCTGGCCTGCATCTCAGTCCCCAAGCAGTCCTATTCCATCCTGCTCGGCTGCCTCCATGCTGGTCCAGGTCACTGCACCGCCCCCCTCTGGAGAGATGCTACAGTCTCTTCACCAGCCCCCCACCCACTCTCTCAAACCCTGCTGCCAAAAGGGCCAATTAGAACATAACTCTGCCTTAAAATCCACTCCTCTCCTCACATGTTTCCAAGATCCTGCCCAAAGGGGCCACTGCTAACCTCTCCTGTTTCGACCAGGCTGTTCCCTGTGGGTAGCCTGGACCTCTCTTGCCAGTTTTCAACGGCGCCTGACATCCACTGGGGTAAGCCCTATTGCCAAGATGAAACAAAGCCTCCAACCCCCAACCCGAAGACCATCCACTCGGGCTTCTTCTGCTAGTGCCTGTCACAGCCACTGATGACAATGATTTGCCTGATACCCTGATCCCATCAAACGCCGCTCCAAAGGGCAGGGCGGAGCCTGTCCCTTTCCGGACACTGAGCATTGAGATGTTCAGCAGAGGCTTGGGAAAAGGCACAGGACTCGGGGCTTCCTAGGCCACTGCTGACGGCCCCTCTCCTGACCTGTCCTCCTGCTCCCTGGAGGAGAGGGACAGCGGGTGAAAGACCCAGCCGCCTGACCCAAAGGTGGTGGTCCTCCGCTACCCGAGGGTGTCAGAGGTCCGCTCCCATCCAGGACCAGCCTCCCTTTGTGTTCAGCCCGCCCCCTCCTCCTCCTCTAGGACTTCTCGTCCCCTCCCAAACGGGCTCCTAATTTAATAACCTGCCCGGGCCCAGGCCCCCTCCCGCGAGCAGCCATTGCTGGCTCTCCCACCTTACACTATGGCTACAGCCTCCACGCCCCCGCGGACCGGTCCGCACACAGTCCCCATCGCCTCCCCACGCCCGAATGCACATCCGACCCGCGGCGGGCGCCTGCGCTACTCCGGCCGCGACCCCGGCTCCCTCCCCGGCGGCGCCCACAGCCCGTGGCCCGCTCACTTGGCCTTGAAGCGGCTCGGTCCGGCCGCAGCCTCCTCCATGTCGCTGCCGCTGCAGCCGCCGCCGCCGCGTGGGGGAGACCCGAGCGCCTCTCCGTCCTGCCGGCGCGCTTCACTGGCGTCACCGCGCGTCTCTACTGTGACGTCATTACGACCGTGCGATCCGCGCCGAAGGTGGCAGAGGCGTTTCCGCCTGGAGGTTGGGTTGTACTCCGTCTGGGGCCGGTGGGATGGCACAGACTGCGTTCACTAGGTAGCTGGCATTTTCTTCTATTTTATTTATTTTTAAAAAAATATATCATTGATTTTTTACAGAGAGGAAGGGAGAGGGATAGAGTTAGAAACATTGATGAGAGAGAAACACCGATCAGCTGCCTCCTGCACCGCCCCCACCGGGGATGTGCCCGCAACCAAGGTACATGCCCTTGACCAGAATCGAACCTGGGACCCTTCAGTCCGTTGCTCTATCCACTGAGCCAACCAGCGAGGGCTATTTTATTTTTTTATTGACGGTATTGATGTGACGTTGGATAATAAAATTTTACTGGATAATTATATAGGTTTCTTCTATAATACGTCATCTTTCTATCTGGTCTTGACTAGGAATCGAACCCGCAACCTTAGCATATTCAGATGACACTAACCAACTGAGATACCCAGCCAGGGCAGGGAGTGCAGTTGTAAATGGGGTTGTGGAGCAGAACCCTAAAGTGGGTGAAGCAGGGAGCCCTGTGGTTATCTAGAACAGTGCTTCCGGCTAAGGAACACCACTGCACAGGGCTGGCGTTAGGAGGAGCAATTGAAGCCCAGGTAGCTTCAGGGAGTGAGTAGGGAGGTTTATAAGGGGAGGAGGTCAGAGATAATGGGGATTCACTGTGAGTCATTGTGATGAGGGGGCTTTACTCAGCTCAGGAATTTGAGCTGTTGTGCTACTGGCTATGACGCTGGTAAGTAAATTGCTAGAAAGTAACTGGGAAGAAGACTGGGAAAAACCCTTGTGAGACATTAATTTGAGTGGAAAGTAGCCAGGCAAAGGAGAGTGAGTGATAGAGCTTATGGGCAGGGAAAAGAGCCAGTGTTAAAACCCAGTGGTGGGAAAGAACTTGGGAGAGGTGGAGGGAGAGAGGCCAAAGTGTCCTTGCAGGGTGAAGGGAGTAGTGTCTGCAGAGGTGGAGGGCTGCAAGCACAGAGATGGCGGGAGCAAGCCAGTTCAGGGCTCATGTTTATTTATCCCTCAATTTACAAGGTACTTTGGTCCTGGACCCCCCACACCTCAGTCCCAATGCTGCCTTCCGGGGCGGCCTCGGCATCCTCTTGCTGCGCAGGGGCATCCTCCTGCTGCGCAGGGGCATCCTCCTGCTGCGCGGGGGCATCCTCTTGCTGTGCCCCTAGGAGCAGTGCGTCATTCTCCAGGAAGTTCCCTAGTTGGGCCAACTGCCAGCAGATGAGGTTGGTGGTGCGGTGCACCTTGCGCACATGCTGGAGCAGGCACAGCACCAGGGTCTGGCTGCGATCCTGGCGCTGGCCCCAGGCTTCGCGCAGCTCACAGTGGCAGTTGTGGGGTCCAGGCTCCGTTGGGCCCAGGTCTGCACCACAGTCCAGGGCGCAGTGCTGCTGGGTCCCATGCTGGCAGTGCTGCAGGTGTGCCACCAAGGTCCCACGCGGTATTTGTACCATGCAACCCTCGTTGGGGCAGGCCATTAGCTCGAAAGGGCACGAGTTCTGGTGCCCCTTGCGATGGGCCAGGGGGCACGTCACCGAACAGCCAGCTTCAGCGTTCTTGCACTAGGGGTGGGGGAGAACAAGGTGAGCCAAACCAGGTCAGGCATTGCCAGCCTTTAAGCTGCCCACCCCCAAATAATTACCCACCCATGACATACATTCCACTGACTAGGAACCAGGGAACTAACTGGGAACCTCCCAAGCTCTTATGGCACCAATAATGTGAAAAGGGGAACAGTTGGACAAATGCTTAGAGGTGGGAAGAACCTAGATCTCTGAGAGAAGGGGGACGGGTTGAGGCCTGACACTTGGAAAACAGAGGTGCATGGCTGAGTTGCACTAGACGATTGCATGTATGGCAGATTTTTACTTTATTTTTAATATATTTTTATTGATTTCAGAGAGGGAGGGAGGGAGAAACATCAGTGATGAGAGAGAATCATTGATCGGCTGCCTCCTGCACACCCCACATGGGGATCGAGCCTGCAATCCAGGTATGTGCCCTGACGGGGAATCGAACCGTGGCCTCCTGGTTCATAGGTCAAGGCTCAACCATTGAGCCACACTGGCTGGGCTGTTTTTTAACCTATTTTCCCATCTACAAAATTAGGAGGCTGGAGTTAATGGCTGACAGCAGATACATTATCCTCTAAAAATGTTCTGGTCTCCATTTTACATTTGAGCCCTGGCTGGTGCCGCTCAGTAGTTAGAGCATTAGTCAGCACACCAAAGGGTCCTGGGTTCAATTTCCAGCCAAGGGCACATACCTGGGTTGTAGGTTCGATCCCTGGCCCTAGTCAGGGTGCATGCGAGAGGCAACCAATTGTGTCTTTCTCTCTCACTCCCCTCTCCCCTCCCTTCCTCCCTCTAAGAAAATGAATGGAAAAAATATCCTCTGGTGAAGATTAACAACAAAAACCCCATTTACATTTGAGGCCCCAGGAGCTGAGTCGTTATGTAACTTGCCCAAAGTCACAATGCAAGTAAATGGAACTCAGCCAGGGCTGAGGACCCCAAGTCTGCAGTCTGTGTTGCTGGAGTAGAAACCCTCAGTTCTCTGAGGGTGAGATTCTCCTAGCTCCCTCTCCTTGCTCTGCCCCATCCCCCAAGGGACACAAGGAGGATGGTGGCAGTGGGTGCTTTGTACTACCTTAACTTCCAGGTGGCCAATGGTCTTTCGGAGTTTATTCACACGGACCATCTTTTTCCGTTTCACTTCTTTCCTGCAGCACGGACAGGTCTTTTGTCTAGGGAGGGAGGCATGGGTTGGGTGAGTGTTGGGATTGGGGAGGGAGCAAGTGGCAGCAACATGTTGGTCCCTTCTCTCTACCTGCAAGAGGCACGAGAGGGCTTTATAGGGACCTCTCAGCTCCGAGGCCTGGCCAGGGGCTACAGGCAGATAACACATGGTGAGGGGACCCACAAATTTCAGTCTCAGATTTAGCAGCTGAATCTTATGGCCACGGCTTTGCAGACCTTCCTTTCTGTCCTGGTTTACAGAAATGGCCCTTATCCCCACCCTTGCCTCCCAGCCTCTTGGGAACCCAGTAGCACCTGGCTAGCCACCGGAGAATGCACTTCTTGCAGAAGATGTGGCTGCATGGCAACCTCACCGGCTTCTTGAGAACTCCATGGCAGACAGAGCACAGAAAGTTGCTGTCGGGAGGGCTGGTGAAGAGGTTGAGATCATACCCGCCACTCTGAAAAGGCCAGACCAGCATCAGAGGCTGGCAGGGACCAGAATCTGGTCACCCCATTCCATATGCCAAGAGGGAGACCCCAGCAAGCTTTGGGTAGGGAGGTGGGCCACGTGAGAGCCTTGAGTGGAGGGGTGGGTCAGCACTCACTTTGAGGGGGCAGCTGTGAGGGTCAAGACCTTTGAATACTAATCCCCAGCTTTAGGAGCTGGTCTTGGCCTGGATTTACTCTTGGCCAGAGTCCTCTGAAAGCTTTCCTTATTCCATTTGGGAGCTTGTAAGCCATTGTCCACTCTTTCTCAGAATTGGAGTTCAGCTCTGGGCAAGTCTCTGGATTTAGGCACAAATATAAGGGCCAGAGGCAAGAGGGTCTTGGACTCACCATGATATGTGTCTAGACCGCAGCTTCTGACCCCTGGGGCTGAGGAGCTTACATTTCACAGGGAGAGTGGGCGACATCACAGTGGCATTGTCCCAAAGCGGCCAATCACAGTCCTGGCCCAGGGCCCACTGGGACTCCGCACCACCTGGCTCTCAACTCCCCTCTCTAAAAGGGCACAGACATGGGGTAGGGTCCCTATAGCCCCTGCCTTGATGGTGACTGGCAGCTGGTCCCCAAGCAGCACTAGGCCAGGAATCAAACTCCTAGGGACAGTATCCCCAAGACCGAGGCTTCAGCAGGAATGAAGGGATGGCTCCCCTCTCCCTCCTAAAACAGTGCTGCCCTGGTGGCTAGTTCTCCAAGAGCTCAGGGGCTTTAGGATCTAAGACCCAAGGTGCTCCAGGATACAGACCAGGGAAATGAGGACCAGATTGCCACGCCACCTACATACAGTACAGGAAGAGCTAGCCTGTGGGAAAACCTCCCAGAGTAGGTAGGCTCGGACCATCTGGGCAGGCCGATGAGAAAGGCGTAGGGAAGTCAATTCCAACCGGAGAGAGCAGCATGTTCCAACGTGTCAAGCACAGAACAGAAAAGTGTATTTCCATACCACCGAGTGGTTCACTTATCACACCCTGAAGACCTAACCCTGTCCTGCGGTAAGTGACCAGGGGGCCGCTGTTTGAACTGTGAATCTTACACTCCTGACCTTGCTAATGGCTACCAGGCCCAGCGGGACTCCCATCGAGCTCAAGGTACTTTATCTGCTCTCTGTGGACCCTTAGGAGTCACCCCCCAACCTTGGAGACGCTAAGCTCTACCCCCGTGTGGCATCCGAAGCAGAACAGGGCTGTCTAGGAGGAAAAGGCGGCCGACGCGGGTCTCTCCTTCACGGCACACACTGATCTGAGGGTCCACAGTTGCATTTTCCAGGATGACAGGCAGGGGACCAAAAACACCCACATGCGCATGAATTAGACCAACAGCTTTATTAAAAAAATTAAGACAGAGACAACATAATTTAAGGAGATAAATAAGAAAGAGGACAGCGAAGTCTCCCTACTGCCACGATCCTGGCGGCGTCAGCCTCAGTTGGGACATCCGGGAGCCCTGCGGGCAGAAAACGGGGTGAGGACCTGACATGAGAGCACGCGATCGGTAACACCCGGGGCCCCGGACCGCGGCGCGTGTCGGGGCCTGGGTTTCACCTCCCACATCGTGTGGACAGTGAGCTGAGGCCCCCGGTGGCTCTGGGCGCCGAATCTCACCCACGGTCACGGGCAAGGCCGCGGGTGATTTTCAACCAACGCCGACCTCCCGACCACCACCCAGGGACACGCACAGCCCGACCTACCTGCAGCCGGAGGAGGTGCGCGCGCGGCGGAGCAGCATTTATAGCCACTCCGCGAGCCCGGAGACGCGCAGGCGCACGCAGAGCTGACGGGGCCCCGTGAAGCCAATCACAAGCTGTCTTGGAGGCCCTGGGAACACTCGCGATAGGGATGGTGCGGTCTAGTTCTCGCGGCACTTGGAGCCATATAAATTCTCCCTCCCAGGAATCTTTGTTCTTCTTTTCCGACGAAACACGTGAGTCCTCGCTCTTACTAGTTTGGGCCGGGGCCTCAGCGCGGCGATCCGCGGGCGTCGGGCTGGACCCGGGATGGTGTGACCGCATTTTGGGCGGGAGGGAGCCCCAGTCCAGGCGACCGCGAGTGCCAGGGCCGGCGACCGCGAGTGCCAGGGCCGGCCTTGTTGACTTTTTCTTGTCGCTCAATTTAGCAAATGGCGGATGACGCCGGTGCTGCGGGAGGGCCCGGAGGCCCCGGGGGCCCCGGAATAGGAGGTCGCGGCGGCTTCCGTGGAGGATTTGGCAGCGGCATCCGAGGCCGGGGTCGCGGCCGGGGTCGGGGCCGGGGCCGAGGCCGCGGAGCTCGTGGAGGCAAGGCCGAGGACAAGGAGGTAGGTCCGGGCTGTGCGCGCCGGGCGGCCCCGTGGGCGGCCCCGGGCATTCTGTCCTCATCGGCGCCTTCTCCCTCCAGTGGATCCCTGTCACCAAGCTGGGCCGCCTGGTCAAGGACATGAAAATCAAGTCACTAGAGGAAATCTACCTATTCTCTTTGCCCATCAAGGTAACGCGTGGGTCCTTTTTTCCCTCCCGGATGTTAGGCAGGTGCAGCCTTGGGGAGTCTCATTTGGTCTCGGGATGAGGGGTGAGGTTTATTGGGGGGCTCCGGGATTTGTTTAATAGGTTGTGTGAGTGTATGGGTAGTCGGTCTCTGACGTTGGGTTATCAACAAGGAAGCCAAGTTAAGTCTCCCAATGACTGATGTTCAGAGGTGGTGTTTATTTTAATCGCGTTTTTCACAAACCTCATTTTTTGCAGGAATCGGAGATCATTGACTTTTTCTTGGGGACATCCCTCAAGGACGAAGTCTTGAAGATCATGCCTGTGCAAAAGCAGACACGTGCTGGCCAGAGGACCCGGTTCAAGGTATCCCAGCCACCTTGTGCTTTCCTGGGCTGTCGCTGCCACGGGCTTTGGGAGACTCTCCCAGCTCTGCACTGTCACACTTGCTTTCACACGTGTGGCTTTCGTAATGGGGAGAGAGAGAAAGGCTCTCCTCAGGACCTCAGGTTGGCCTCGCAGTGGCCAGCCTTTGCTTGAGGGGTGCAACAGGCCTCGGGTGGTGGTTACTGAGGCTGTGTTGGTCAGTGGACCACCAGCCACTTCAGTCTCTTCGCAGGCATTTGTCGCCATTGGGGACTACAATGGACATGTCGGTCTGGGTGTGAAGTGCTCAAAGGAAGTAGCCACTGCCATCCGTGGAGCCATCATCCTGGCCAAGCTCTCCATTGTGCCTGTGCGGCGAGGCTACTGGGGAAACAAGATTGGCAAGCCCCACACCGTACCTTGCAAGGTAGGCTGGGTGACGGGTGACTGATGGGGTCTTCAGTGGCAGTGTCTCTCCAGCCCCAGCCTTCTGACTCCAACCCTTTCAGGTGACTGGCCGCTGTGGCTCTGTACTGGTGCGCCTCATCCCTGCCCCCAGGGGTACGGGCATTGTCTCGGCCCCTGTGCCTAAGAAGTTGCTGATGATGGCTGGTATTGACGACTGCTACACTTCAGCCAGGGGCTGCACTGCCACCCTGGGCAACTTCGGTAGGTGGCCTACACAAGGGCTAAGACCTCTGAGCACTGCTTAATCACAGTATGGGTGGTTGGTGGCCTATTTTCAGAGAGGAAAGCCCTAAATGCAAAGTAACCTCTTCCTAGGAGCGGGACAGCTCCTGCCTACATCTGAAGTTTTGTGTTTTGGGTAAATCCACCAACCCTTTTCCCTTTTCTAGCCAAGGCCACCTTTGATGCCATCTCTAAGACCTACAGCTATCTCACCCCAGATCTCTGGAAAGAGACCGTGTTCACCAAGTCTCCCTATCAGGTACTGCCTGCCCCCACTACCTTGTTAACCGATGCAAATGCAGTGTGTGCCTGGCTCGACAGTGAATGCCTTGTCTGTCTTTCTAGGAATTCACTGACCATCTTGTCAAGACCCACACCAGAGTTTCTGTGCAGAGGACCCAGGCTCCCGCTGTGGCCACCACATAATTTTATACAAGAAAAATAAAATGAATTAAGCCTGCTAATAGTTGCCTTTTATTTAGGCTCATCAATGAGTCAAGGTTGAGGGCTGAAACTGACACCAGAAATGGGTTTTTGTCACTGTTTTTATTCAGCAAGAGATGGTCATTCATGTGGGAGGGACTCAATGAGCAGCAGCAGCAGCCTCTCTGGCAGCTTTTCTCTCTTCGAGCATCCTCTGCTTCTGTTTTGCCAGGCACTTCCTGGCTGAATAATGGGCTCCTAATTCGTGATCTGGGAAGAGATGGGAGAGTCATTGGGCCGCTTCTGCCATAATGTGGTGGCAAGTAAAGTCAAGCATCCAAGACAATTACTGGCAGAAAGGGGACCTGGGACATAGTGATAATTCCCTCTTATACCCTGCGAGGCTTTGGGAAAGTATGGCAAGTATATTGATCTGAGGACTGGTTATTTCAGTGCCCACAGCTGTTAGGAATGGAGGGTTGGCTAGCAAGCAGGAGGGTCAGACTGAGATGAGGTTCACTCACAACGGTCCTGGTAGGCCTTGGCCACCTGTGCGAACTGCTCCACCTCCTTCGCACAATTCTGCCTGTAGCTCTCGCCTTCCCTCTGCTGACAGGCCTTCAGTCTTTCCTGGATAATGTTGACAATTTCTTGATCAACTTTGCTGAAAGAAAAGGGAACAAGAAAGGTGGTCTACAAAGAATCATTTCTCTGCACCCCAAGAGAATGAAAGCATGGGTTGGACCCTATCTGGCCCCTCCACCCCCAAGATCTTGGGCATGATGTGGCCGCTGTGCAGGGCTCTGTTCCCCAGTCAAGGGCAGACATACTAGTCTCTTCTCCATTGCATTTCTGCTTCAAACATGCACAAGACATCGTTTTCCTTGCAGTCGGTGATATCCGGCACCCGGCGGAACTCCCGGTGGTAGTAGTAATACTTGTTTTTTGCATGCTGCTGCTCTATAAACTCTGCAAAGAGAAGCCCCCAGACTCAGGTCCCATTGGTTTGGTCAGGACACGGTTTAGATCAGGGGTCCTCAAACTATGGCCCGCGGGCCACGTGCAAATAAAAATATTGCATTTGTTCCCGTTTTGTTTTTTTACTTCAAAATAAGATATGTGCAGTGTGCATAGGAATTTGTTCATAGTTTTTTTTTAAAACTGTAGTCCGGCCCTCCAACGGTCTAAGGGACAGTGAACTGGCCCCCTGTTTAAAAAGTTTGAGGACGCCTGGTTTAGATGGACTCTGCTTTATTGCTAATAAGCCACAGGAGGGGCAGATTTCCCATGTCCTCAACTTTCACAAAGACTGGCAAGTGGAGTCCAGTATAGGCTGGGAAGGGCGACTAGGTTTTATGGAGCTCCCTGTCAACTGTCTCCCACCCCCCAACAGCTCTATGGGGCAGGTCCTTATTTACAGACGGGACTGAAGCACAGGGAAGGCAACCTGCACCCGGCCTGCCAGCCAACCCCCATCACGGACTCCACTGCAGTGTGTACACTGAGACTCAGCCACCAGCAGGGATTCCAGTCCCAGTTCTGCCCCCACTCACCTGGCCTGAACTCCCCCATAGGAGGTCAACAAGTGGGACCAGGGAAGAAAGCAGCACACAGGGGGTGGGTCCCCGGCCTTTGCCAGACCTTGGGGGTCTGGCTTGCTGACTTGATCCTAACAAAAGACCAGGCCATGCACACCAATGTTTCTTTTAATGAATGGAATTGGTTAGTTAAACTAATATGGATGAATTGCCAGGCACTAGTGACTGAGGGCAGAATGTGTTCTTGCTGCCACCCCCCCCCCCCCCCATGGCTGAACCACAAACTGGGCAGTAACTGTTTTAAACTGGACTTGGAGCAATTTGGGCGCACACGGAGGACAAGTCATACATAGCATGTACAGGTTGCGAGGAACTCGGCCATCACCCGACCACCCGATGACTGCAGGCGTGCAGAGGGTCAGCAAAGAACCCCTTCCTTTCAAAACCCGTTTGCTGACCCCGACTGGACACAACGCAGGACGGGGAGCGTGCAGGGAGACGGGTCTCACAAGCCCCAGGACACGGACGATTGCAATAGGCAAACCACCCCTAATATCTGGGCGAAGTGGGAGACCGGATTGCGTGGCGAGTCCCCCACGCGGTGGGAACCCGAGAGCACCGAGGGGTCTTGGAAGGGGGCGTCCCCGAGGCAAGGCCTGGGGTGTGGTTGGGGGTCTAAGTAGGCGATGAGGCCCGAAGATCTACGGGTGGGCGCCCCGGATGGCGGCGGGGTGTCCAGGTTAGGCCACGGGGTCCGCAGTACCGGGGAACTCGGGGAGCAGCGGGGACCGGGTGGAGCCCGTACCTCTCACGAGGGTCACAGGCCGGTCCACGAGGAGGTCGAAGGCCTTTGTCAGATAGGTGACGGGGTTGGGCAGCGAGGTTTGCGGCGACGGCGCCGGCGTGCGGCGCGGGGGCTCGGGGTACACGTCCTTGTCCCAGCTGTCTGGCATGGCGGCGGCTCCCGGCGGCTCAACCTCGGGCACCGTGTCCCTGCCTCCGCCCCGCAGCGCGGCCTGGTCCGCCCGCAGCAAAGGACGCCCCGAGGGCGGCTGCGCCTGCGCAGGGCGGGCGGGGCTCGCGAGGCAACATGGGACTTGCTCTCGACACGCCCACGTTCGGGCTCGGCAACGTCTCACGGCTTGGGCGCCCCCTCGTGGGACTGA